TTTTTTTTTAATTTTTTTTTCAACGTTTATTTATTTTTGGGACAGAGAGAGACAGAGCATGAACAGGGGAGGGGCAGAGAGAGAGGGAGACACAGAATCGGAAACAGGCTCCAGGCTCTGAGCCATCAGCCCAGAGCCTGACGCGGGGCTCGAACTCACGGACCGCGAGATCGTGACCTGGCTGAAGTCGGACGCTTAACCGACTGCGCCACCCAGGCGCCCCTAAAGAACAACCTTTAAATAAAAGTTTTTGGGGAAAAAAGGAATGGCTCCTTTGAAAGCCAGGCTAAAGAGTTTGGATTTTCAGTGGAGTGCTGTCACAGGTATTGAACCATGAAAAGGATGTCTTTAGATATGCCTTCTGACTGAAGTGTTGCTCAGCTCTCTCTGTATCAAACCACCTACATGTCTGAGGAAGGCTGGGATGGAATGGGGTGTTGACTATGTAGCTTATTGTCTGAAGCAGTATAAATGATGATATATTTTTGGTTAGAGATAAGTTCTTTCTCCCAATAGGACAGAAACAAATACCTCACTGGAGTGACCCAGATATGAAGTATAAAATTACCACATGTGCCTCTCTTCCTTCAACATTTGCTATTAGGAACATAGTCCAGATTTGCTGGTATCACAAAACTGCATGCACAGATAAACACCCTTGAAAAATAAGAAAAAAAACCTGCAAGTTATGGCAGGTTAGAAAAATGGGTGCAATCTTAGGATATATTTCAATAGATATTGGCAGAAGCTGAGAGATTTCTAAAATGTAAGTTAGTAAAGTATGGCTAAAAGCCCAGTTGGGTATTGCCACGAACCAAAAACAGATTCAATCCAACAAAGGACTGGGGCATTCAAAAAAAAAAGGCTAAGAATTGGGATACAGTGTAATGGTTCTCAACTGGGGGTGATTTTGCCCTTTCCCCAGGGGATATTTGGCGATGTCTGGTAACAGTTTTGATTGCTATGATTTGGGTGGCTTGCTGTGATTTGGGTTGCTGTTTAGTGAGTGGAGGCCAGGGATGCCGCTAAACTTTCTACAGTGCACAAGACAGCTTCTCCCATGCTCACCTCCCACCCCCAAAAGAATTTTCAAGCCCAAATGTCACAGTGCTGAGGGTGAAAAACCCTTTCCTAGAGTCTCTGGAGAGTAACATGTAGAGACTGCAAAGTGATTCTCAGGACAGGTCAGAGATTGTGTTTGATGAGGGTGACTCTAAATATTGAGGAAAATGTCAAAGATTTCCCAGATTTTTCAAGGGCCTCTTGCAAATAAGACTAAAAGAACAGGAACAGGCTAATTGCCAAGAGAGAAGGAAAGCTCTAGAGCAGATTTTATCAATATTATTTATACAAACTAAAGTAAAAACATATTTTTTGAATGAATAAGTGTATGGGGGTTAATGGGGAATGTCTTTTTCTTTTTCCTTATCATCTATCTATCATCTATCTATCTATCTATCTATCTATCTATCTATCTATCTATCAGATACTTCCAGATGCCAGACATAGAAATAGGCACTAGCAACACAAAGGGAATAAGGAATAAGTTCTGTTTCCTTCCCTGGGCAACTTCCCAGTTCAGATGGGGAGAAAGAGAAGTAAGTGAATGAATGATTCCATAGCAGTGGAATCAGTGTTGGCATGGAGGTGTGCCTACAGTGCAGTCACAGCAAGGAGGATGGGCCTGCCCAATTCTGTCTTGGGAGGGCGAGAGGGGACATTTAAGTGAGAACAAGGTTACTAGGAAGGGAAGAGCCTGTGCTTTCCCAGATATAATGACCTGTGCAAAGACCCATGACATAAATACTCATGACATGATAATGCAGAACATCTGGGATATAAAGTGCAGGGGTACCTGTGGCTAGCAGAGTTCAAGAATCAACATTTGACATGAAGCCTCTTTCTTCCCACCCTTCTATGAATTCATTCTACTTTGTCACTGCTCCTTTTAAAATGTGGGTCTCTAGATTCAGACCTGGTTCTCTAGGTGAGGACTGACCAAAAAAAAGGGGGAGTGGGTAGAGGGAAGGAAGGAAGGTAAGAGAGAAGGAAGGAAGGAAGGGTGGAAAGGGTTAAAAAAAAACCCTGAGAAATTGTCCCCCAATAATTCTAGTCTCTTAAAGTTTTCCATATTTCTAATATGAAAACCCAAAGCTTAATGTAAAAACACATAGTATAGTTTTATGTTCTCAAATTAAAAACAGTGACTTTGGATCTTAAAAGAGGTTAATGAAGAAAGTAGTATTTATATCTTGATGGAAACATTCCTTTCTCTTCCATCTCCAAAAGACCCAATTTTTTTTTCAGTGTATTCAAGGAATACATATTACTTCACAAGTAATTACGTTGCATCTGAACATGGCCATATCTGGAAGCTGATGGTGGTAGTAGCTACAGGGAGAGAGATTCAAATTACTTTTAAAATTAAAGGGAATTTTTGGAATTAAATCTTTGGATTGACATTCAACACCAGTTATTAGACACTGCACCCCATTATATTATGAATCCTCATTTTAAGACCCAGGTAAAATCACATCACTGAAACATGATAAACACACCTGCTGAAGGCTTAGGCCTGACATCACACTCCTAGCCATATTCTGAACTCCAGTGTTCTGGCTTCAGATGGCCTGAAGATATCATTTGTTTCATTTTTGTTCCTTTGCCTCTGTCCCCCTAGGAATGCCCAGCTGTTTTGTGTGTTCGGTATTGGTTAACCCAGGGTTTTCTTTCACAGGGAGCCTTTTGGGGACTGATCATAGGATTTCTGATTGGGGTGTCCCGTATGGTGGCTGAATTTTCCTATGGAACTGGGAGCTGCATGAAGCCCAGCAACTGTCCCAAAATTATCTGTGGTGTGCACTACCTGTATTTTGCCATCATCCTTTTTGTCATTTCTATCATCATCATTGTGGTTGTGTCTCTCTTCACCAAGCCCATTCCAGATGTGCATGTGAGTATCCATTTTGGGGAGGTGTCCTGCCCTTGTTTCATGTTCATGCTGCAACACCCACCTTGGTTGCCTTTTGCTCAATTAGACATTTGCACTCATATGACTAAAATAGCCCATGCTTGCAATTTGTTTTACGTAGAAAGACACAGAACAGAAAACATGGTGTGCCAGCAAAGCAGTATCAAGCATGTGTCTTTGGCAGAAGTTTTCATAGTAGTTCAAATTTCAGTTGAAAGGGTATTCTCTGGATCCTTCACCCTGAGTGACAGCACAACACAAGGGCATGAGATCACATGGGTGAGCACAGGGGCTACCCTGGCTGAGATGCTCATATCTCAAATAGGAACTTAGATTTTTTCTAATAGTCCCATGGCATGACTTCCAGGGGTCCCAGCAAGGGATATACTTAGTTACAAAAATCACCACACTCAGGGAAATTTGAAGTATGGTATTCCCTTAATTTTTGTCCAATTAAGCTTCCAAACAATTACCCGTATAGTTTGAGAAATTTCAAACAATATCAAAGTCCAATTGATTCAAGACTCCAAAAATAGTAAATACTCTCCTTTAACTCTAGATGTCACCCTTGGTTTAAGATTTATTCACAGCCTTCCCAATGCAGATGAAGATTTCCCATTATGGGTCATTTTTACCATAAGCAATATAGTCTGGTAGCTCAGTACAGCTGAAATTTTACCTTTTTAAGGTTTCTTAGGAACAGAGCTAGAGAGTTAGCCAAGGTCATTTTTGCCCATAGAGAAAGAGAAAGTGACTTTTTAGTCACAGGGACTTATGGAATCCCTAAGAGACCTTCAACCTCATTATGAATTTTTCAAAGCTGTGACCAATCTTGATGTAAAACAAAGACTGCTTTTATAGCAGAAGAACCGCCATTATGTTTTTTTTGCTGAATCTGTCAACTGGCTTTCTTTGTGTTGTTTTTAATGCTTCCTGATGTCTCAGTGTTTGCAAGTATTGCAGCCCCAAGCACATTTAGCTCCATGATTCCTCTTGAAGTAGAGAAAGAAAGGTAGTTACCAAAAGAGGTCATGGGTAGAATGAACACATTAAATTGATTTTCAGACTTCTACGAGTTTCTGGTTTCATGTCCATAGAAGCTGTGTGTCTCCAGCTCTATTCTATTCTAATATGGCTCATAATTCTACAGATTATGTCCTTATAAGGTAACAAACACATAGTATAAAACTCTACTCTTATACTGTTGGTCTAGACAAATAAGTGTAAAGGAACAAATTTGGTTATCATGTCTGAGAAGAGTTCATTCATTCAACAAAAATTTCTTTATTCATGGCAGTCTCTTAGTCTCTGAATATAATATCACACAATGTGAATTCATGTGTATAATTCACATTGAAGTATCCATATTTAGAAATAATGTTGTAGATGGAACTGTTAATCTATGTTTTTGTTGGTACTGAGAGACTACGATACCTCTTTTTTTGTTGTTGTTTTCATTTTTTATTGAGTTTCATTGAGCAAACACTGGCAAAGTGAATGTCTCACTGGGAGTGCCTCCAATGCCCACTGTATTCTAGAGCAATGGCTAGTTATCCACTGATACCTTTCAGGAAGTGATGTACCTTTTCCTTTCTTGAGCACATATCTTTGTTCTCCAACTTCTTGACCCAAGACACTATTTGGATCTTTCTGCTAACCTGTTTTGCTTTCTCCATAGCTCTATCGTCTGTGCTGGAGCCTGCGCAACAGCAAAGAGGAACGTATTGACTTGGATGCAGGAGAGGAGGACATCCAAGAAACCCCAGAGGAGACCATTGAAATAGGTGATTTGTGATTCAGAACCTAGTTCCAAGCCCTAAAAAGTTACTCCTCCAATAGCAAGGCCACTGTACTGAAGCATTTATGAAATGTATTCATCAAAGCTCAGGTCTCTCTTCTGGAAGGGAGTAGGGAGTGAGGTGGGGAATGAGATGGAATGGATGGGAAATTCACTCTGAGGCCTGGTCAAGGGGAGGAGAGAGGTGCAGAACAATCCCAGCCTCATTATGTCTCATAGTTCACAGTGTGAACTATGTAAGTATGAGTTGGGTATTTGCCACCCTGACTTGATTTGGGGCATGGCCAAGGACAAGGGAAGAATCAGAGCTTGTGAACTGAAAGCAGTTGGAACCTAAGCTATGGTTAGTTCTAGTGACATCAGGAAGATGGGTGAGAGGCTCTTGGGGTCTTATGTCTCATCAGCTTACCACATCAGATTTAGAAAATCAAATTTCCCTGAAGTCCAGTAAGATAATGCATAGTCAGTGTTTAGAGACTTATCCTGATCATGGGGAAATGCTTTCCTCAGCTTATATATTGGAGCTTTTTCTCCCTACTTGGGAGTGGTGCACACATTTAGGATGGTTGTGGAGATGTATGGTATGTAGAGGTGTGGGAGTGCAAGATCATATGTGCTTTATCTGGTGCTGGACTGGAAGTCACATCACTCCATCTGAAGGAGAGCACAGATGCAGCAGAATAAGTTCTGAATATGGCCATCAGAAATATATAACCCTAGCTCTGGAAAGGGCTCTAGATATCATTTGGTCTTATGGCCTTATTTTATGGACATGTGGATTGAGAGTCAGGAAGGAGGTGGCTTTGCCTATTATCCCAGCTCTGATACAATCTTCTCTTGGTCTCTAAAGACCTTTTAGTTTTGAAACCTGTGATTCTGCATGTACTGGAAAGAATCTAGAGCCACAAGCAGTTGACCATGTTGTTGAAAAAGGTAGACATTTTCTGCTTCCTTGGAGCAGGGAGACATGGACATGCTACCTGCTTCTCCCACTTCCAAAAATGTCTCCACACTGAGTGAGAATATCATAGATTTAAAAGGGACATGGGGGATGCCTGGGTGGCGCAGTCGGTTAAGCGTCCAACTTCAGCCAGGTCACGATCTCGCGGTCCGTGAGTTCAAGCCCTGCGTCAGGCTCTGGGCTGATGGCTCAGAGCCTGGAGCCTGTTTCCGATTCTGTGTCTCCCTCTCTCTCTGCCCCTCCCCCGTTCATGCTCTGTCTCTCTCTGTCCCAAAAATAGATAAAAAACGTTGAAAAAAAATTTAAATAAAAGGGACGTGGATGAGAAGTCTTTTGCATGTTTTAATGTAGAAGAAGAGGTTAGTTATGTACCAGAGGGCAAATTTAAGACTGATGAGTGGAATCTTATTTTATTTTATTTTTATTTTTATTTTTTATATGATTATCCAGTTGCCCTAGCACCATTTTATTTTTATTTTTTATTATAATCCCAGTGTGGTTAGCATACAGTGTTACATTAGTTTCATGTGTATAATATAGTGATTTAACAATTCTATACTTTATTCAGTGCTCCTTAAGGTAAGTGTGCTCTTAATCCCCTTCACCTAATTTATTATCACCCCACCTCTCCTCTGGCAACCATCAGTGTATTCTATATAGTTAAGAGTCTTTTTTTGTCTGTTTGTTTTGTTGCTTAAATTCCACATATGAGTGAAATCATATGGTATTTGTCTTTCTCTGACCGACTTATTCACTTAGAAGTACCTCTAGGTCCATCCCTGTTGTTGCAAATGGCAAGATTTCATTTTTTTTTATGGCTAAGTAATATTCTATTGTATCTATATACCACATCTTCTTTATCCATTCATCTATTGATGGACACTGGGCTACTTCAATAAATTGGCTATTGTAAGTAATGCTGCAATAAACATAAGGGTCATATATCTTTATGAATTAGTGTTTTCTTTCTTAAAATTTTTAAATGTTTATTTATTTTTGAGAGATAGAGAGAGACAGAGTGTGTGCAGGGGAGGGGCAGAGAAAGAGGGAGACACAGAATCCAAATCAGGCTCCTGGCTCTGAGCTGTCAGCACAGAGCCTAATGTGAGGTCTGAGCCCATGACACACGAGATCATGACATGAGCTGAAGTCGGATGCCTAGCTGACTGAGCTACCCAGGTACCCCTATGAATTAGTGTTTTCATATTTTGGGGTAGATACCCAGTAGCGTGATTACTGTATCATATGGTAATTTGATTTTTAATTTTTGAGGAGCCTCTGTACTGTTTTTCACAGTGGCTGCACCAGTTTGCATTCCCACCAACTGTGCACAAGAGTTCCTTTTTTTCCACATCCTCACCAATGCTATTTGTTTCTCGTGTTTTTGATTTTAGCCACTGTTACAAGTGTTAAGTAGTCATTGTAGTTTTGATATGCATTTCCCTGACGACGAATGATATTGAACATCTCATGTCTGTTGGCCATCTGGATGTCTTCTTTGGAGAAATGTCTGTTCATGTCTTCTGTCTGTTTTTAAACTGGATTATTTGATTTTTTTTGTGTGTTCAGTTGTATAAATTTTTAATATATTCTGGATACTAACCCTTTATCAGATATGTCATTTGCAAATATCTTCTCCCATTCCATAGGTTGCCTTTTAGTTTCATTGATTGTTTCCTTTGCTGTGCAGAAGTTTTTATTTTGATGAAGTCCCAATAGTTTATTTTTGCTTTTGTTTTCCTTGTCTCAGGAGATGTAATCTAGAAAAATATTGGTATGGCTGATGTTAGAGAAATGACTGCCTGTACTTTCCTAGGATTTTTATAGTTTCAGGTCTCACAGTTAGGTCCTTAATCCGTTTTGAGTTTATTTTTGTATATGGTGTAAGAAAGTAATCTAGTTTCATTCTTTTGCTCAGTTTTCCCAACACCATTTTTTGAAGAGGCTCTTTCCCATTGCATATTCTTGTATTTTTGTGTCAATACCATGTTTTGATTACGACAGCTTTGTAGTATATCTTAAAATATGGGGTTGTGATGCCTTCAGTTTTATTCTTTTTCAAAATTGCTTTGGCTATTTGAGGTCTTTTGTGGTTCCATACGAATTTTAAGATTATTTTTTCTAGTTCTGTGAAACATGCTGTTGGTATTTTTGATAGGGATTGCATTAAATCTGTGGATTGCTTTAGGTAGTATGGATGAGTTTAGACTATCTTTACATTTCTTTGTGTTGTCTTCAATTTCTTTCATCAATGTTTTATAGTTTTCAGAGTACAGGTCTTTCACCTCCTTGGTTAGGTTTATTCCTAGGTATTTTATTACTTTTGGTGAAATTGAAATGTTTTCTTGATTTCTCTTTTTGCTAGAAATGCAATGGATTTCTGTATATTGATTTTACATCCCACAACTTTACTGAATTCATTTATCAGTTCTAGTAGTTTTTTGGTGGAGTCTTTTAGGGTTTTCTGTATATAGTACCATGTAATCTGTGAATAGTAAAAGTTTTACTTCTTTCTTACCAATTTGGATGCCTTTTTAATCTTTTCATGATCTAATTTCTGTGACTAGGACTTCCTGTACCATGTTGAATAAAAGTGGTGAGAGTGGACATCCTGTCTTGTTCCTGACCTTAGGGGGAAAGGTCTCAGTTTTTCCCCACTGAGTGTGATGTCCACTGTGGGGTTTTTTTCATATATGGCTTTTATTCTGCTGAGGTATGTTCCCTCTAAACCTACTTTATTGAGGTTTTTTTGTTGTTGTTTTTTGTTTTTTTTTTAATTCAAGAATGGATGCTGTACTTTGTCAAATGCTTTTTCTGTATCTATTGATATATTGAAATGATCATATGGTTTTTGTGTTTTCTCTTATTGATATGATGTATTATGTTGATAGATTTGTGAATAATGAACCACCCTTGCACCCCAGGAATAAATCCCACTTGATTGTGTTGAATGCTTTTTTTCATGTATTGTTGGATTTGGTTTGCTAATATTTTGTTGAGGATTTTTGCATCTATGTTCATCAGGGATATTGCCCTGTAGTTCTCTTCTTTTTTGTATTTTTTTTTAATGTTTTTGGTGTCAGGATGAGTGGTCTCATAGAATGAGTTTGGAAGCTTTCCTTCCTCTTTTATATATTTGGGAATAGTTTGAGAAGAATAGGTATTAACTCTTTAAATGTTTGGTAGAATTCATCTGTGAAGAAATATGTTCCTCAACTTTTGTTTGTTGGCAGTTTTTTTCTTTTTTCTTTTTTTTAAATTTTATTTTTTCTTTTTAAATTTTACATCCAAATTAGTTAGCATATAGTGCAACAATGATTTCAGGAGTAGATTCCTTAGTGCCCCTTACCCATTTTGCCCACCCCCCCTCCCACAACCCCTCCAGTAACCTTCAGTTTGTTCTCCATATTTATGAGTCTCTTCTGTTTTGTCCCCCTCCCTGTTT